ATTAAATGAATAGATTCATCTAATATCATATATTCTAAATGAATTAAAACAGTTAATTATTTAAAAAATATGTAAAATTATACTAAAAAATAATATTAAAAAATTATCCCAATCATTTTTCTTGAAAAAATGTTAAAAAAAAAAAAAGGCTACATCAAGTCCAGTACGACAGTGGACCCTACAACAACATAAACTCGGTTAAGTTTGGACGGAATGATAACATCAGCCGTTGCAGAAGGGCTGATTTGTCACCGTTGACGAGTTTAGGGGTTTATATGCTACTGTTTTCAGTTTAGGGGCTTTTTTGTTATCTCCCAATAAGTTTGGGGGGTAATTTGCAAGATATATATAAAAACCAGATCAACTGCGTGTCTCGTCTCCTTTCTCCGCCGTCGTTTGAGGTGATTGGCGTCTATATTCTCTCTTCCCCTGCTGCAACTTAGCTGTCAACGGGTCTTACTCTTTCTTCTCCATCTTCGGCTAAGTCAATTTGTAAGCAATTTTCTCTCAACCAGCGTAAATCACATTAGATTGGATTTCATAAAAAATAGAGCCACAGTGGAGGATCTGTTGGGTTTTAAATTATTAAATTTAGTTGGTTAAATTTTGTTGCAACTAAATCTTAGTTTTCTTATGATAAATTGGAAAGTTGATTGGTTTCAATAGAATAAGTTGGGAATGTGTATTCTGATTTCCTGCAGTGGTCGACATGGATTCGTGGTAGCAATAACAGGTATAGAGAATATTGGGAAAGGCTTGATTCGCGATGGTACTGGATTTGTAACATTCCCTGTGAAGTATCAATGTGTTGTCTTTAGACCATTTAAAGGCGAGATCTTAGAAGCTGTTGTGACTATGGTCAACAAGGCAACTGTCTTCTATTTGCTACTCTCCTGACTTAATGATAAGATTATCTTATGAACCATGGATTTCTATTGTTTTACTGATAACTGCATTTGGGATTCCCACAGACGGGATTCTTTGCAGAAGCTGGACCTGTTCAAATTTTTGTTTCAAACCATGTAAGTATTTTTCCCTTTTTAATAAGGTTTCTGCTCCAAGAGGATAGCTATATTCATCTTGTCACAAGCATTTTCATTTTTCCATTCAAATCCATGCCCTCTGTGAGATATCAATTTGGTTGGTAGTTATGCATTTTTATTTTTGTTTAGTGCTTACATTGTGGCTATTGTTGATGAAAACTTGAATTTTCTGTACCTTGATGAAATTTCTAGGGTCTAAGCATTTAGTGTTTTCATCAAGCTTTTCTATGGCCCACGAGAAAAATAGAACTCCTTAGATTGAATTAGCTATTGTGTTTAGCAACTGACATGGAAGAGCTAACATGTTTTACTTCTTACCACTTAGCAATTGATCTATGATGAAGGTTGCTAATGAGGTACTTAGGAACTCCACTTGCATACCCTTAACAAGGTTCATAAAAAGCAAGACATTAATACAAAATACAAAGAAACAAACATTTGATAAATTAAATAAGTTCTTTATCTAATGTAACAAAACAGCATATTACTCAGAAGAAACATATTACATAAATTAAACATAATTCTTTAGGGTTCGGTCAATCCCTGTAGAAAATGTTCCAGAATTCGTTTTTTGCTGGGTGGATTACAAAATTGGGCGTCTTTAATTGCTCATACTTTATGTCCTTGACCTGTGATTAACTGATTATGCCATACATGTCTTCTGCATCTCTATTGATAATGGTTTTTATTTTGATAGTTGATTCCAGATGACATGGAGTTTCAATCTGGAGATATTCCCAATTATACTACTTCAGATGGATCGGTATGGTTTAACTTATTATTTCGAAAACTAGTAATTCTTAATTTTCTTTTGCACAGATATGTTCTTTTTAGTCTTACTTATGCTTCTTCCATGTTAAGATTCAGAAGGATACCGAAGTCCACCTGAAGATAACTGGAACTCAAGTAGATGCCACAGAAATTGTATGTGCTCACCCATTCGTGTTTAAATTATTACATCACTTCCTAGCAATTCATTTGTACGCCTTTTTTGTTTTTAATTATAGGTTTTCAAGTGTTCTTATTATCTTTGTTGTGTTAGAATGTTTTTGATTGTTGTTCGCTGTTTCAATAAGACGACTATTTTTTCTAAAATCCTAATGGATGGGTGAATATCAATAATTTTTCTTGGGGTTTGTGTCATCATATCATCTGAGCACTATTGGGGACCAAGGTAAGGACAGGGTTTAATGGAATTTGAAGTGATGAGTTTCTTAAATGATTTTATTTTTGAAATTTACCATTTATCCTTATTGATTGTCTTACTAACACTTATAGGTTCTTAGAAACATTCAGACATATAATTTGATATATTCCTGATGCGGATCAGATTACGCTTAAAGGACTGGTTTGGGGGTGCAAGGGTATAGAAAGGATAATGAAAAGAGAAAGATAGAACAAGCCTAGAGTGACACCTGGGTCTTTTTTAGGCATAGCAGAGAGATTGAAGTTCCTTAATCATCACATCTAAGGTTGAATGCATCACGTAATCAAGATTGCTTCACACAATCTGAAGAGAGAACTCTTGTGGAATATATCTGAATATTATTAAATAGCTAAATAATGAAAGACTTTACAGCATACACAGATATTCCTAAGACTTCTAACTCAACAAGAAGTAGAATTCCCATCCTAACTAGACTAGAGCTTAGATTCATAATATAAATACACTAAGACTCCTAAATAAAAATCAAATCAATAATAATCTAAAATGACACATGTGAAAAAATAATTGCACAGTCCCAAATTCTTTAAATAACTATTCAATATCTTCTTGTTCATCATCATTTTCCCCTTGTTGGAGAAAACTAAGCCTCAAGTTTTGAAATATTGAAGTAGTAGAATGCTTGAGGTCTCAAACTGCTTTAGGGAGTGTTTGGGGGAAGTTATTTTTTTTGAGTTGCTTACAAGCCACTTTTTCTCTAACAAATTTCAAATTCTGTTGGGGTGAAAATTTCTGAGAAATAAGCATCCCTTCCTACTATAGGTACCAAAACATTGAATTCTAATCACCTATGGGTAACAAATTCATAATCATTTGATTCAAAACATTAGAGTAACAAAAGGATCAATGCAAGCAAAATAGAAGTCGCTTATAATTTGTAAAGAAGCATAGATAAAAGAAAGTATGCTAATATGTAGCAGTAGGAGCATAGATGAATGAATATGGATGAAAATCAACATCAATATGGATGAAAATCCATTGAAGAATTACCAATTTCACAATTATCTTGCTGAAAGAGAAAGACCAAGTGGTCCACCATCTCAGCTAATAGTTAATCACCCTGGCACAAAAACTAAAATATCAAGCATTAATTGCGATGCCATTGATTAGCTAACTTATCTAGCAGATGCAGAGCCCTTATTTTCCACAGTAACTACCACACTAAACCAATTGAAAGACAGATGATGAGGGGGCAACAGTTAAAATTCTTGCTGCCAGGTAACAAGCAGGCCAACAAAAGAGAAATTTTATCACATTTAATCAGAGGTTGGATTGAAGATGAACAAGCTGGAAACATACAGGTTCTTTACGTGAATAAACAGAAGGAGTAACTCCCCTTCTTCTGTTGCAGGCTTCTCTAATTGGATTAGTAGACACACAGATGCGGACAGAGCATCTAAATAGAAAAGTCCACGGGGCTCTGAAGATACTTTACTAGTCTGTCCAGGCAAATGAGAAAGAGTGAATTTTTAAGTCATCAATATAAAAAACCAAAGCACCAAAGAATTTAATGCTAAATTAGTTTCAAGGCTTACATCCAGCATTTCAGTTGGTAGAATGCTAAAATAGACATCTTCTGACAATTTTTCTCTTCTCTCCCTATTGTATAAGGAAATTGTACCATGGAATGGCTCTGAGAGAAATAGAGGGAACAAGGTCAGAAATCTTAAATGTGCAAAAAATAATGAAATAAAGCAGTATCTTAACATTATAAAGATGCAGCAGCTTGTGGATAACAGGGAAACAACACTAACCAACGATTCCAGCTTGAAACGCAGGGGACAGAACTTTCACAGAGATCTTCAATCCACTAAGGCCACCCATCCCAACAGACAAGATATCATAGACTGTGAGAGATTGATCTAAAGCAAACCAATAAATCTCAACATAATTTTAGCAAGGATCAAGATTCTGAACCTGCCATGGTGTACCACAAGATTCTCTGGAGTCCTCTGGCCAAATATCATTGACCTCTCATTTTCCCAGTCGAAAGCTGGTTCATAGGCAGGTAGGGGAGATTGGCCAAAACGCTAAACATGTCATCAAAATTAAGGAGGAAAAAGAGAGAAATCAACACCTCAAAATAATTAATACATAAACAAATAAAACCAATAGCCAGATAAAAGAGTTAAACAGCAAAACCTGAGAAACATGAGAGTCTGCAAATTGGCATCCAGAGGTACTTGGGGTGTCATCATCAGTAGCATCTTCAAGCTTGGTTTGCCTTGCATTTGCAAGGTTCATTTCTGCAGAAATTTGACATGAAAAATAGATTAAACGGTTAACAAAATGTCAATGCTCTTGGAATCAAATCAAATCAAAAGCAGATGAACAAAATTTTACCAGTCTCGATATCAGTATCGGGCCCCTTAAATATTTGATCGTGAAAGTGAGGACTGACACTTTCATGATGGCCATGCTTGCTCTCATCTTTCACCCAGTCACTTGTGTAACAAAGGAGAAATAAAACCCATAAATAAATATAATTTTGCCCATAATTGTCAAGAAATAAAACCCATAAATAAAAATATCAAAAGAAAATCCCTTACTACCAGTTGCCGGAAAGACGGTCTAAGGGCATAGCAAGTAACTCCGATGAAATCCGGCATAAGACTACACTGGCGGAGATGTGCGGGAAGAGGCTGAACGTTGGGGACTCTGGGTTGGACTTTTACCCTACCTCAAGTCTATATATTTGATGCCTTCACATCTCGATGATTGGATCCATCTTCATCGTGCTTATCATCATCATCATCTTGATTATCCCTTTTGAGGACAACTATGATGCTCTCACTAGCTCTAGGGATGTATCCAAATCCTTCGCATAAAAAACCAGATACTGTCTCATACTGATGTTCCTATAAAACAAAATGGTGAACAAAGAAATGATGAATAGAGATATGAAATTTACAAGTTAAGGACACTTTGATAATTATTTATAAATGTGAGGTTAATTGTGCCTTTACTCCAAAATGAACTGAATACCGTTGAATACCGTCCAGTGGAATGTGCCTGGGACAATGGGTTCTATATTCCAGGTCCCCTTCTCCCCCTTCCCCAAAAAAAATTTTCACTGTTTAAAAAAAAAATGAATTGAATACCACATTCTGCTTTTACCTATTTACTTTATCCTGCCATTTTTCTTTTTCATTTGGTTTTTGTTTTCTTCTTCTTCTTTCTTCTTTTTTTTTTTTTTTTTTTTTTGGTTTAGTTTTTCCCTTTTTTTCAAGCAGTGGTCACTTAATCTTAAGGCATAATAATTCCACAATAGTCACAATAAACAGAATTTCACTTGCAACTGAGATAAGAAATATCAAGTTTAGAAGCATGCCTATTTTTAAGATTCCTATGATCAACTATGGGGCAGAAATAAAATTTTAATGAGCCTGTGGAAATGGCAGGAGAAGTGTACAATACAGAAATAATCAAAGGTAGAAATGATCCTAATAACTGAGTTTTTAGCTTTAAAATTCAAATACTCCATTCGGTGCTCTATACACCATAATAACGAAAACCAGTAATAAGGTGGAATAATATACCTCTGGCATTTTGATATTCAAGTCCTCAGATGGCAAATAAATAGATGAATTGGCATCAACATCATATACTCCCTCTACTCTCATTACAATATAGCCAATTTTCTTCTGGATCTCCTTCTGTTAATACAATTAGCAGCAAGTGCATCTAATAAGTATCACTTGAGAATCATTAGATATATATATATATATATATATAACATATCACTTAAGAATCAGGCAGAGCTCAACCTTGTAGCGGTAATTGATATGAGAGCTATAGAGTAAATTTTCTTCTGGATCTCCTCCTGTTAATACAATTAGCAGCAAATGCATCTAATAAGTATCACTTGAGAATCATTATATATATATATATAACATATCACTTAAGAATCAGGCAGAGCTCAACCTTGTAGCGGTAATTGATATGAGAGCTATAGAGTAAATAAATATCTACATGACGTGAGAAGTGACATGAAATTCTTTGGTCACATTGAAAATGCAGACAAAATACATGCCAGACTAAAAGAGACCAGAAACTACAAAAATAAAGCAGAATCCAGATCAATTGATCTATAGAAAATTGGCAGCACATGTACAACACCAATTTGTTTTGGACTTCATCAACAAGTTTTCTTAGCATCCCTTTGCTGAGGAATAACAGAATGCAATATCTAAAGTTATACATATAATTAAAAGACTTGCCTCCAAGAACAAATTCAATAATAGAACATTAAGGTCATTAATGATGTAATTAGGCTTACCTTTGAATCATTTTCATCAAAGATTTCTCCAATAATCTCCTCAACCACATCTTCTAAGTTTACCATCTGCTCCATCAAAAAATGAGTACATAAATATAAAAAATCAATCAGTCAATAAAATGAGCACAAATACTATTAAATAAGCAATCCAAAAGAGAAAGAAAACCCATGCATGGTAAGTTCTAGACTTTTTGTGTTCTCATGCTGCATATTCCACTCTTATCTAAACTCGAGAAGAAAAATGATTTCAAAACATATGAGAGAGCATTTGAGTTTCATCTACAAGGAACTCCTATTTGTCTCCTAGACACACAGAACTGGATTAGTTAAGTGATGATGGGAAAGACTAGTACGTAGTGCCAAAAAGAATGGTGGTGAAAAAACTAGGTTACATACTGTGAAGCATTCGAAATACACCATCTTTAGACTCTTTTTCAGCCAGCTTATGAAGCTGACACAAATTAGCATTAAATCACCAATGAGACCAAAGTTTCCCAATGGCTTGGTGACATTTTTTTAAAAAAAAAATCTTGTTCTTCCATGAATTAATATGAACCACATGAACATATAAGAAACCAGCATCACCCTCTAAACCAAACAAGACAACAGTAGTACTGCTGCATGAACTTCACAATCAAGATTTGAAATAGCAGATCAGAGATTAATCTTTGCTAAACTTAACCCAATATTTAAGTCAGCAAATGCCATTGCACAACAACCACAAACTTCATATATTTATCTAAACCATAAAAGTTATTGAAACACTAACAATCAATAACTATGAATGTTCTTCAACTTCATATATGTATCTTTTTCAACTTTTTTGATGTTTCCATACTAAAACTCAGATTTCAATTGCTATTCACTAATTATAAGAACCATCAATCTTCAAACCAAGAAAGCAAACCTTCCATGGCCAAAGTGTAGTTATAGAACTTTCTGGCATTGAGAATAATGCAGATAGACCTAAAAGTGTAGTCAAAATCACACCTTGCTCTTTGAAAATCTTAAGAACCATAGAAACCTTAGGCCACGCATTCCTCAACAACAATGCCCATTGCTCAATCACTACGTACCCTGCATTCACCACTCCCTCCATCGCGAGCACTCTCTTGCACACGAAAACCAAAAGACAATAAAGCATTGCCCCAATAAAGACTCCTCGCTTCAACAAAATCTTCAGAGACTCCAAATCCAGGCCTAAAACCTCACCTTGGTCACCACCCAGATCATTGTTTTCTTCACTTAACGATCTCAGATGAACTCCACCGCCAACAATGCCAGGTCTCCGCAATCTCAAACTGTAAATTCCACCAAAATGGACGGATTGAAACAACTGTAGACTACACAACATGGGAAGTGATTACTTTTGGATGATAATTTTATTGAGCATCTCAAATTTCGATTGTGTTGCACGAAACACGAGATAGTGCTTCATTCTTTTTCTATTTTTCTCATTTTTGCTCGAATGGAAAGTCTACTTCTACTCTGATTCAATTTAACTGTCTTATAAACTTTTTGTTTGTAATTTTAAATAATTTTTTTGCATGATATATGAACAGTGAATGAAATTTTTTTTAAAACAAAATTATTCCAAAAAATTAAGTTGGCATTAACTACTAGGATTCGAGTGATCAAGATTGAAAAAGAAAGATAGATTGAATTAATTACTAATCACATAATTTCTACGTTGAATTTTTGATGTAATTTCAGCAAAAAGCCTTTCTGCCATCCATGGGGCACAACCATATCTTAAGATATGTTTATGTGTTGCTGTAACACTCTTTTTATTTTAAAATAATTAATATTTTTTTAATTTTACTTCTATACTAAAATTTTAAAGATAATTTATTATTTTATTTATACTACTTTTAAAAAAATGAATAAAAATTAAATTTTTATAATAAAATGAATAATTAAAATCAAAGATGATAGTAAGATTAAAATAAGAAAAAATATTTGTTTATTTCAACAAAAAATGATTTAAAGATAATATTTTATATTATTTTCTAATATAACTTTACATATCATTTAAATGGTTGATTTTTTTTTTTTTTCATTTAAACCCATAATATTAATTACAATTACTTATTTAAACAGTGGAAGCATGCTAATAAAAAAAATTTTAATTACTTAGGATATTCCAGAAGATTAAATTAGAAGTTTGGTTGCTAGGAGTAAACCATGCATTCATATTGTGGACTTT